GAGAGAGAAGCTCCACCCGGGATGCCGGATCAGCGGTCAAGAGACTGTCAAAACCATGCTTGTGGCAGGTGGTGTCGCGGGGGTTGCCAGCTGGATCTGCTGTTACCCCCTTGATGTGATCAAAACAAGACTTCAGGCTCAATCCGAGTCTTTGTATTCTCCTCCAAGATACAACGGCATTGTGGACTGCTTCAGAAGGATTGTGAAAGAAGAGGGACACATGGTGCTCTGGCGAGGCCTTGGAACGGCAGTCACGAGAGCATTCATAGTGAATGGTGCCATTTTCACAGCTTATGAGACTGCTCTAAGGTGCATCTCTAACAACAACACCAACACCAACACCAACAATCATGCAGCAATCTATGCAGAGGATTAGAATATCAGCCCTCCAATGTATGGTGTCCCTTGTTACAAGAGTATTTAGAGATGTAGAAGGCATAGCTAGAGACAAGAAGTCTTCTTTTGTTTTGGAAGTAGAACTTTCTAAGCAACAATTGATGATGTATAGCCAATGTGCTAGGAATGGAGACTGACATTCTTATATTGCGCTTTAAAACTCATCCAATGCCATCTTCAAAATGCGATGTTTTACTTCGCACGCACAACCGTAGTCGTGGGCTCAAATGGACGTTTCTTGAACGGGAATAGACACTCGAGCCTAATCCATCTCCTAAACATGATGTTGCAAACCATTAAGAAGACCCAAACCCATCCTTTTTTTTGTCCCAACTCATCTCATAGGAACAAGCTCTGGAAAGTGATAACCTAACCAGCTCCAACATCAACTAATAGAAAGCTATGATGTTTACCCACCTTAAATTTAGCTCAAACAAGCAAATAATGTCGGATTTTCAAAAGGAATCAAATTGGTAGAAGGCTTTTTGTCTGTACAAACATTTCAAATGAAAATTACTGGGATGATGATTTAGACGAGGCCAAGAATCTTATTCATACAGAAGCAAGTATATATAGAAAAAGAGCAGAAGTTATCACTAAAGCAACAAGTGCAATTTGATTTTTGTTAAGCAACAAGACAGAAACATGTATATTAAACATACACAAACAAAGGGCACACAACTCATATTATTTCATTGCGATTTTCATGAAGAAAACTTCTACTGGAAGTGTAGAACACAATCGTTCGACCCTAAAACCCACTGCTCGCCTGGGCCAGGACGTGTGGATCATTGTAGTTTCTCACTGCCTGCACAATTGCCCACACTTTCTTGTAAGGATCAGTGGAATTGAACACTTCTTGACCCAGAAAGACTCCATCACAGCCCAGCTGCATCAAAAGAGCGGCATCCGCAGGGGTGGTGATCCCACCTGAAGCGAAATGGACAACTGGAAGCCTAGACATTTGCTTCGTCTGCGCAACAATGTCATAAGGAGCGGAGATCTTCTTCGAGAAGGCGAAAACCTCATCTTCATCCATGTTGTTCAGGACTCTAATGTCTCCCATCACTTTCCTCACGCTCCGGACGGTCTCTGCTATGTTTCCTGAACCTGTGAGGTCCCCTTGGGTCCTGATCATGGCCGCCCCTTCCCTCACTCGCCTCAAAGCCTCTCCCAGATCCCGCGAGCCGCAAACGAATGGGACTCTGAGATTGTGCTTGTTGATGAAATGATCCTCGTCGGCGATAGCCAGGAGCTCGCTCTCATCTATGTAGTCTACTCCGACGCTCTCTAGGACTTGAGCCTCCACGAAATGCCCGACCCTGGACTTCGCCATAACAGGGATTGAAACGGCCCGTTTGATTTCCTTGATGATAGCCGGATCTGGCATCCGCCCAATCCCGGGAGAGGCGGGAGAGGAGACGATCACGCAGCAAGCTCCGGCTGACTCGGCGATCTTGGCCTGCTCGACGGTAGTGACCTCAACAATGGCACCGCCGCGGAGGGTTTGGGCGATCCCGACCTTGATGGACAGAGAATTCTTCTTCGCATCTGTGATAGCGCTGCCGCTGTAGACCGTGACGGCACCGTCTTCCGCCATTTGCAAGGTGGCAATGCGTGAGAGAAACCGGAAGATGATCGGTGATCGGCGATACCCTGCGTGAGAAGAGAGTGGAGAGTGGCGATCGTGAAATGGTTAGCGATGGTAATTGGTAATAGGAAAGGGATGAAGGGAAGATTGGGGAGGTGGGGGGAATGGAGGATTTGAGGGTGGGGTTTAGAGAAATCTAGAAATTTCTGGTGCAGTGTGGCGTTGCGTAGAAGCTTCTGTATTTTGCCTGCTCGGATTTGGTAAACCGTGAGACGGAAACGGAATGGTACCGGCCTGACACCCTACTCTTTGTTGTTTTTCTGATTTAATTTTATGTGTTATGACGTGTTTGACGAATAAAAAAGATATTAAAATATGTGTAACATGACGGGAGTGAAGGAGTAATCGAGTATGAGAGTAAACTATTTTGATCGGTTGAAGTAGCAATGTGTTAAATATGGGGTGCACACGGTGCAATTCAGGTTCCGATGCCGCCGCCTAATAGCACCGTAACCAACAACGGTAAAGCCGGTTTCAGAACCAACGGTTCCAGAGCCATTTCTGGGCCGGTTCTCGGATTTTTTTAAACCTAATATATGAATAATACTATGATATTATATGTAATGTAAAAAAAATTATAAATTTTTATGATTTCTAGTAATGTAGTTGTTATTTAAATGAAGAAAAGATGAATATTACAACTACATTTAATATCATGACGGTTCAAAAAAAGCGACGAGGTAGAGAACCGTAAAGAAACCCTCGAAGGAGCTTATAAAACGCTCGCCTAAAAAAACTAATTATAATTTATAAAAGATAAAGTTTAATCCTCGGAATAATCACTTCCCTTTGTAGTTGCATCTATTTAATTTTGTGTATCAATATCGTAAAGAAATTTCTTAACCAAACATAGTAGCATTACTTCTCCACTCCCCCCTCGCTTCAAATTTTGACATGAGCATTCGATATTGCATGATCAAATCACTCATAACGGTCACTGTTCATAAACTGCTTTGAAAACACATGTTGCCATCTCCAAATTCATCAGTCCTTTGACAGTTTGACCTGTTTAATTTTATGTTTGAGATTTTCCTGCGTAAATAAAAAAAATTGCATTAGTTTTGTTTATATTCAATCAAAAAAGTGAAAACTTTCATGACTGATCTTCCAAAAGCAATCTTGGTTGAAATGAAAATTTTCTTTTTATAGAATTCCCAATTATAAACTTTTCATTTCCTTAAAATGTATGGAGTGACCATGTTATCACCCATGCGGCAACCTCTAAGCCAGAAGAATTAGTGGCAAAGTTCTAAACAGTTCTAACATTATACTCCATCCATGCCAAAACTGACGTACTTCTTTATTATTATAGTCCCTCGAAAACTTTTGTTTAATGGTATATTTTCATTGATTATTTAATAAAATAAAATATATTTTTTCACCTGAAATTTTGTATGCAATTTTAAAATATGTAAGTTGTATATATTTATTACTAAATTATAAAGAAAATCATTTCGAAATTACACGATTTACACGTTGTTTGAATAGAAAATATCATTTTGGGATGGATGGAGTATTTTTTTTTACTTTCAACATTTTTATTCTTTGCAGAACTAAAGTGTGTTTTTTAAAGAAAGACAAAGAATAATTCACTATAAAATCTTGAAAGAAATGAATGGATACAACATTGTAATAAATTTTAACACTAAAAAATAAAAATAAAACAAAATCTTAGAAGAAAAACATGAAAAAACTTACCACATCTTGAGTATTTGTCTAGTTTTAACTTTTTGTAGTCAATAATGTTCAACCTTGACTTATAATTAAATAAAAGTTACTACGTATATGATATATTAATTATGTGAAACAATTTTTTAAAATATTTTATAAAATAAATTCATTAAAACAATTTTATATCAATATCTAATATCAATTTTATTTAATTAATGGTCAAAGCTTGTCAATTTTAAATACAAAAAGTCAAAGTGAACAAATATTCAGAGATAGAGTCAGTATAATTTAAGGGCATATTTTTTTGGGGTATTACTATATTCACACCAATTTTGGCTAAATCTACCATTTTAGTGTTAAATGTACAAATTTACCCTTAAATTTGGCGTGCATCTAAACTTTCTCTTTTATACTTTAAAGGATAAAATTATCAATTTAAGATCAAATAAGTGGATATAGGCATATAGCAACCCTTATTTTTTCTTTCAGAAAATGATGCTAATGGACGTTGCGCAGTTGACAAAGATAAGAAGTGCCAAAGGACTAAGACTCGAATTTGATACCTTGCAACTGCACTGGGCGCGAACTTTGTTAAGCATAAAAGCTCTACATGTACCACATGCAGGCTCTATTCTTTATCATGAATCTGTGATCAAGGAAAAAAATAAATTAGGAGTGAAACATTGAAAATATATCAGAATAGGAGTTCCATATTTTTATTCTCGAAATAAGAGTTAAAATGCATTTACATTACCAATCATGACCATATACATTACGTAAAATGCACATGTATAGTGTCACATTACTACAATGCAAACTCATATTTAGACACTAAAACATAAAGCTCCTATTTTGATATTTTCTCTATATTTTAATCCTATTTAGGGTAATTTCTTATCAAAATTTAATTTATTTTATCTCAATGAATGCTTGACCAGGTCTGTGAGAGCAGTTGAGGATGAGGCTTATCATTTTTTTTTTGAAAAATGTCAGGGTACACCAAAGGTGTACCTCATTTGCCCCCCACCCCCTCCTTGTCCACATAAATGGACAAGAAATTCAAAAAAATAAATAAATAAAAATCAAATAAAAATAAATAGTGGAGAAGGAGGTGGTGTTCATTTGGGGTATACCAAATGGTGACCCCTTCTCTTTTTTTTTTCTTTTTAGGAAATGCCCCTCACATGATGGTGATGGAGGGCATGGTGGTCACGTTCTCACCAATTTTAAAAAATCCATTCACCATCAGTCACCCATTGCCATCTCACTCCAAATTTCAACAGTACAAAAATGGAGTCGAGCAAACAACATACATGCCCCCACTCCATTAATCTGAGCCGTTGAACTTCCATTATAGCTCAAATCTGTTTGATTCTACAACTTTGGGTTGATTTTCAATTTATTCCTTTTTTCCTTTCATTTTTAGAGTTTCGGTGATGAGATGATGACTCATTGCTTCAAGAAAGCATAAATGGAACAGATTTGATTGGGGATACTTTTCGGACATTCGTATATTTGCATCCCGGTCAAACTTAAGTGAGAGAGATGAATGCCGCCGTGGGAAGGCAGAGGTCCGGTGCGGCGGCGGCGGCGCATCATCAGCGGCAGTACTCCGACAACTTTCTGGACACTTTGTCGAACGGCAAATGGCTTCAATCAGCTGGTCTTCAGCATCTTCAGACCTCAAGCAACTCCGTTCATCACTCACAGGTTTGGATCCCTGCTGCAATTGGGCAACTATTTAAGTTCCTTTTTTAATCTGACGAGTTGTGGTTATACTGTATTGATGCAATGTTTTGGGAATGGGGCCTTGAAACGGCGGAAATCAGGGATCCAGGGTGCAAAGTGGTCTTCAGAGGAGTGGAGGAAGTGGTGCTTTTGCTGAGCCGCTGACTCCGCCAGCCAATCCTCGGCCGTCCGGCCAGAGGAAGAATGGGAATGAACCTAATGAGTTCAGTCCGGGGCTCTTAGATCTGTACTCATTGGATACTGAGCTTCTTCCCGAGGTATGATTCATACTCATACTGTTTTGGTAAAGTTGCATCCTTTTGATTCTATTTTTGGTCTATTAAATATCAACAATGCTATGTGTTATTCGCAAATTATACCGTACAGCCGGCTGTACGGGAAGAACCGTACAGCCGGCAAAAATTAGAGATAAAGAGCAGCGCGCGATCGAATCAAACCCTAGTGCCTCTGATCGGAAAACTAAGGTAGTGCAGAGTTGGAGGCTGGGAGCAGCTCGACGAAGGTGTTGATGAAGATGATGGTGGAGAAGGTGGAGAAGGTGATGGTGATGTGATAGTGGGGAAGGTAATTGTATTATTTGTATACCCGAGGGAAGCTATTGGTGGGGTTTATGGGAGAAGTGGCTGTAGAAATTTAGTCCGAAATAATTTAGGTTTTGGGTGAGGAAGATGAATCCAAATATGGGGGTATAATTGTTGTTTTTATAAGTATGGAATGACTGATGAGGAGTATTCTTTTAGAATCATCATACTAAGATAGAGCTATCTTTGGTTTATCTGATTGGAGGAAGGGTAAAGTAAGAAATAGAGTGTATATACTGTTTACTAATTGGGTAATTAGGTGCAAATAGCACCGACCTATTCTCAATTTCTCACTTGGCATCCTTTCTTACAAGCAGACCACATTAGTTCATAACCACAGCTAAATGGGATTTTCCCAAAAAACCTGTTTTAATTTCTTTGCGGACTTTGTATTATATTGTGTTGGTGCTTCTGATTGTAGATGCCAGATGCTGGGCAGTATGGTGCTCCTTCTGTGCATAATTCTGCTCAAGGGAAAAGCTTTGATGACTTGGAGTCATATTTTGTAAATAATAAGCAAACAGGAAGAGTTCGTGGCTTGGCAGATATGAATGTAACAAAGAGCTTTGTTGCTGATAAAGAAAAGTCTAGCAGTGTTGCGAAGATCAAAGTAGTGGTATGTTTTGTCTAGTCTTTTATGGTATTAGGAGGTTCCGTTGTTTAATTTTTTTCTTTTAGTTTATGAAGCTTGCTATTTGCTTTTTTGTGATAAATATTGAAGAGTCTTTCACATCGTTTGAACCATTCAATAACGTTGGACAATCATCTCTTATGGCTTTAGCCCACCACTTAGTTTTAATATGTATGAGACACAACCTGACTCATAGTTATCATGTTTGCCTCGTCTTGAGAGTTCTTTTGGATTTCACTTTTGAGTTGGACCTTTGACGACATGCCTACATTAATCATATAATAGAGCTGACAATCATTTGCCTTCTATTCTTCTAAAGCACTTATTTATTTTCTAGAATTTGCTGCTATATAAAATATAGTTAATGCCATTTCTTAATGTGATTGCAAATGTTTGGTGATAATTGCAGGTGCGAAAACGACCAATGAACAAAAAAGAATTGGCAAAGAATGATGACGACATCATTGAAATGCGTAGCAACTCAGTCGTAGTTCACGAGACAAAACTTAAGGTCCGTGTCCCTCAAAAGCAATAGTAATGCATGAATTGACATAAATATATTTTTGCTCTGTGAGTTATATTAGGGACAGGAATTAAAATGGACTAAAATTTGTTTGGGCATAACTTGGCATGTTGGGAATTCAAAATGGCCAATGATTGGGTCAAACATGCTTTGACTTTTTAAATACAGTACGGATATGTTTGGGTATTAAACGGCTAGTATTTATGAAAATTGCAGATAAAAGCATCAGATCTTAAATATTTTCTTGAATTTTGTCTTTTTTCCGTTTTTTTGTAAAGAAATTTTAAAGTATAGAATAACGTAGAACCATTTCTCAAAGAAGTTATGTGCTTACTTATCACAAGTGAGTTGTTCACTAAGTGAACTGACATTACATATCTAAGATATCTTCTATGTTACCTAACTAGAAATGAATTACTCACTACATTGCAGTAGATATACAATTTCTTTGTAACTACGGTTGTATGATGAAATTTAAATTCAACAAAATAAACATGCACATAAATTGACTACTCATTAACTTGATTAGTTAATAATGCATTTACAGTTTTTGGCATGATCAACCCAATTTTTATGTCCTTTTTCACATTAATAGAACAGAAGCCTTTTAGAGTCATTATTTATTATTTTAATTTCTTTTAATACATAATTTTCACAAATAAAGATACTGGATAATCGAACATAGTTATTTTTATTTTTATAAATTCAAGTTAGTCTAAAAAAATTATTTAAAAGTTATTTAACCAATTTTTATATACTCCGTATTATTTTTGTGCAAAAAACTCCTAGAAAACAAAAAACTATAAACTTAAAAACAAAAAAGATATCAAAAACTGTTCTTTTTAAAAAAATTGGAAACAATACATGAATGAATAGCGAATAGTATAATTTGGGTAAACTTAAAAAGCACAAGCTTCACCAAATCATTGGCATTTATATGTATTAGGCCATTTCATTCAGCACAATCCAGATTCGTGAATTAACTAATGAAGCATTTTTGGACTTGTACATTTCTTCTTCTATACTCATTCATTCTTATTTTCCCCTTTGAAAGAATTGAAGTTCTGATTCATGAGCATACTAAACAGGTTGACTTGACACAATATGTTGAGAATCACGAGTTTGTCTTTGATGCAGTGTTGAACGAGGAGGTTTCAAATGATGAGGTGATTATAAATTCAAATTTGATGATTAAATCACAAACCACCAACTTATCAGTTTATGAATCCATGCTTGTTTGCTACATTTTTGTGTAGGTATATCGTGAGACTGTGGAGCCAATTGTTCCAATAATTTTTCAAAGCACAAAAGCCACTTGTTTTGCATATGGGCAAACAGGTAAAGTTTTAGAACTTGTAAACAAGGACTGCCAAACAGTTGCTGTTTCAATTACTAAAAGAAATTCCTAGTGTTAATATTCTCAAGCAGTTACTACTAACTAATGTAACTATAAAGTTATCGCACATCAATACAATCAACATATCAAGACGTGGACTACCTTTATATCAAGTTGACCTTTTAGGTGAAAACTCCAAACCTTATGTTATAGAAAATATTAAGATTAGATGAGCAATCTTATCACGATGATACACCTAAAAGAACAACAACAGCCCAGTAGAATCCCACGGAAGCATGATACACCTAAAAAGAACCACATAAACTTCAAGGTTGGTCAGTGTCAGAGCAGTGGTACTATAATAGCACATATTCCACTTTTTTTTTGCAAAAGAAAGTTGTCAACCCCCTAAAGAGCATCATGAATTTCAAAATAAGTTTAAGCAAGCTTCCATCATTCTTGATGGTGTGTGCTATTTTTCATATGTCATCCATGTTTTGTTTGTGACAAATATGTATGCTCCTAGAAATATTTACTACTGCTTGGTTTTTCCATGTCCATGATTTTCTTGTCCTTATAATCTTCTTTAGGAAGTGGCAAGACATTTACAATGAAACCACTGCCTTTGAAGGCATCAAGGGACATTTTGAGTCTCATGCACTATACTTACCGGAACCATGGCTTTCAATTGTTTGTCAGCTTCTTTGAGATATATCAAGGAAAACTCTTTGACCTTCTCAATGATCGGAAGTAAGTGTTTTTATGTTATGTTGATTTTCTATAGTTTTATTTTCATTACCCTGTGGAGCCAAAATTCCACTTTTTTTGGCGTTGGGGCATGATGGAATAAAGCAAATTGGCTCTTTAAACTGTCTATGCTTCTTGCAATTGTGAAGTAGCAGTTAGTCAATGCAACTTTCGACGCTTATCATGGGTCATCTGGAAACCGCCACTCTATGTTTCAAACATAGGGGTCAGTGTACATCCGACCCCCCCTTACCCCGCAATGGGCGGGAGCCGTTGAGGCACTGGGGTAATGTTGTTGTTGTTGTTTATTTTCTATAGGTTTGAGTGTAGTATACAATCTTGAGGGAAACCTCACTTCTCGATGATAAATTTGGGGTGTGTAAGAACTAATTTGATGTGGTATCAAAGCGTGCTCCCATTGTGACTTGTGCGGATTTAGGCACAATTGTTTAGGCAGCCTGTTTGGGTGGGTCGCTTTTATCCATTTGTCCACTCATTCAATTGGCTTGCCACATTGGTTTTCTAAGTGAATCTCACATCTTGTAAAATATTTTGTGAGTTAGATCCAATTCTACATGTAAAATGATGCTTGGGTGACTATGGTAAACATACAAGTCAAAAACACACTCGAAGATGCCTTTGAAAGAAACATTTAATAGATTCTTTCAAAACTTCCTTTGAGATACACATTTGTTTCATAAATTAGAGTCAAATTTGATTTATAATGTTACCAAAAGTTATATTTTGTTTCGTAGAACCGTCTTTTTTTTTTCAAACCCACTTCATAAAACCATATTGGATAAATAAAAAAAAACACAACCAAATGAACCCTAGATATCTGCTTTCGTGATAACTGATCCTTACTTTTTCAGAAAACTTTGCATGAGAGAGGATGCTAAACAACAAGTATGTATAGTGGGCTTACTAGAGTACAGAGTCTCTGACGTGGAGATGATTAAAGAGCTCATAGACAGAGGGAATGCAACTAGGAGCACAGGAATAACTGGTGCCAATGAGGAATCTTCAAGGTCACATGCTATACTTCAGCTTTCTATCAAGAAGTCAGCTGATGCGAGTGAATCCAAACCTGCCCGACTTGTTGGAAAACTGTCTTTTATAGACCTCGCAGGAAGTGAGCGTGGTGCAGACACTACTGACAATGATAAACAAACCAGGTCCAGTCCTACTTATTTATCTGAGATATATAATATATTCAAGTTCATCCATTTGCTTGAGCGTTTCTTTCATCATGTGCAGTTAGTTATATGTTTGAATATTTTTTGTGCATGCAAATGGAACGGTTTTTTCTTTAGATTCCTCTAAGATACACCATAATGTTTTGTTATTTGTTCCTCTAAATAATGTTTTCCTTTAGTCCCTTTCTGTCAACCTCTTTTAAGAAAACTGATGTGGCTTATGGGTTCTATCATTTCCATGTCAACTTTTTGTATCTCATCAGCAACTTATTAGGGGAGTTGGTGCTAAGCAAAAAAGATCACTACCACTTTTAATTTAAGTCTCTAGCTATATGGAAATAAATACTAGTATGTAGGTTTTTGAAATACCATGGGAAAAGCCACGCTGGAGTTGTGGAGACAAACATATTTAAGCCCTAATGAGTAATGATACCCTTGTTTTTTCAAATCAAACATTAGAACCCGTATGTTTTTCATTTTTGTTTCGTTTTCTATGTAGAATCGAAGGAGCAGAGATCAATAAAAGCTTGCTAGCACTGAAGGAATGCATTAGAGCTCTTGACAATGATCAAGGCCATATACCCTTTAGAGGCAGTAAGCTAACAGAAGTCCTGAGGGACTCGTTTGTTGGAAACAGTAGAACTGTAATGATATCCTGCATTTCGCCAAACTCTGGATCCTGTGAACATACACTCAACACATTGAGATATGCTGACCGGTAATCTCTCATCGTTATGGTTTTGTGGTAATGACTTATCATGGGTTAGTTTTTTCCAGCCACTTTGACTTAGATTTGAAAATATATCTATGAAGTACAGAGTGAAAAGTCTTTCAAAAGGGAACAACTCCAAGAAAGATGTTTCCTCTTCAACATTGAACTTGAGGGAGTCAACCATGTTACCCTTGAACATGGGAGTAGTACCTTCATCTACATATGAAGATGATATGGACAATTCATGGTTGGAAAGAACAAAGAAAGATGACTATGAAGATGACTTTTATGAACAAGACAAACCAATATCAAGAAAAAATGTAAAAGTTGAGGCATCTAGCATTTCTAATCCAGAAGAGAAAAGGAGGAGAAGCCGTGACCAACCTAAGAAATGGAAGGAGTCACTAAGACCTGAGTCTAAGGCTCGGAATGATGATGATGATTTAAATTCACTCTTAAAAGTAGGTTTTTGTGGGCATGAAAATTTATATATTTTCAATTGCTGAGTTTTTAACCCACTAACTCCGTGTTGACATACTTTCAGGAAGAAGAGGATCTTGTTAATGCTCATAGGAGACAAGTAGAAGAAACTATGGACATTGTTAGACAGGTCAGTAACACTAAATTTTGATCAAGTGAATTAGAGCATTTTCTCTTCAACTTATTCTTATTACTTATTATTTATTCTTATTGGAATCGCACCAAATCAGATCAGAAACAACTTTGAGTATAACTACAATCAGATCAAACTAGACCTTAATAAAATCATATCAGATCCAATCAGATCAGACCAAAAGAACAAGCTCTAAATGCCCAAACATTGCAAATTACATGTATTGCGTGTTAACACTAACATGCAAGCCTTAAAACCATCTGTTTTGTGAGATATTTATCTAGATATGACTGTAACATGATGAGTTTTCATAAAGTTAGGGTTATGAAAGGGCATATCAGTACAAAAAAATTACTAATTAATTGAAAAAAATGTATTGATGCTATTCTGAGAGGTTGTGTTTGTGGTTGCATATAATTCAGGAGATGAATCTTTTAGTGGAGGCGGATCAACCAGGAAGCCGGGTAGATGATTACATTTCTCGGTTGAACTCAATCCTTTCTCAGAAGGCTAATGCAATCTTGGGGATGCAGAATCGTTTAGCTCTATTTCAAAGACACCTCATGGAGCATAATGTCTTAGCACCGGACAACCACTGATGTGCAATGGAACCAAAATGGAATATCATTCATCCTTTGGTGATCCATCCCTCCGGCAAGGGTGTGTTGTTTGAACTATGGCTATTACGCCTCGGCTTCATAGAGGTTCAATTCTCTCCGCCCCCAAACAAGCATCACCGTGGAGCGGCCCCGGAAAAAAAAACATCATTCTTTCCTCTTTGTTAAGTCAATTCGCTTCCTGTCAGGGGATTGTCTGGTTGGTTTTGGAAGGCCTTAGGGGATGAAGTTCGTCCTTTTTTGGGTCATGTGTATTTTACACAGACTGGAAATGTTGTGAAGGCTGCGTTAATGCATACATGATACATGGTTACATGCCCCTTTTTGGAAACATACGTATACTTCCTCTGTCCCAAAAAAAAAACAACACACTTCACTATTAAAAAATTACGAAAACATTTGTTCATTTATGCATTTTCAATGATTACCTGATATAATAAAATATTTTTATCACATGTTTTGTACTCCTCTCGTTTGGGAAAAACACTTCCTAATTTGACCAAAGGCCAAAATAAAGAATGATTAAATTATAGTTGACTTTCTATTTTTGCCCTTGATATGATAAGTAAATATAAAATATGATAAATTATTAGTGAAAAAATATAATGTGATGGGTAGAGTACGAAAAAATAAGGGTTAAAAGTGATTTTTAATAGAAAGTGAAAGTATTTTTATAAATGAGAAAAAATGAAAGATGAAGTAATTTGCTAAACGAAGGGAATGGAATTTTGATGTCATTTTTTTATATACAAGTTTTATTTTTTATATTTATATAAAATAAATTGAAAAAACTTTAAAATTTAATTTATTTTACATAAAGTATCTCGTCCTAATGTTTACAAGTATTTTTAGTTCACACGTTTATTAGGAAGGTTAAAATAAATTTTAAGGGCCTGTTTGGGAATAGCGTTAGCGATTAGCGTTAGCGTTTTGAAAAGGCTATCTACTGGCAGCGTTTAGCGTTAGCATTTTAAAGTAATTTGCACCGTTAAAATTTTATCTAAAACGCTAACGCTAATCTCTAACGCTATTCCCAAACAGACCCTAAGTCCCCGACTCCCCGTAAACTAAGTTAGTTTTGTATTTGGTTCATATAAAATATTTTTTGTTCAAGTTATTCTCACAAAAAAAAACTATTTTGAAAATCATCTTTAAACTTAAGTAAGATTTTTATTTTATTGAAATAACACATTTATTTTATACTCAAAAGCTTAGTTTAGCATTTCTAATTATTTCAGGCACAAATTTCATGTCTTAAGTTGTGCCCTTTAAAATAACATCTCCAATTTTCAAATTTTTAACATATTATATTTCCAAGAAATTAAAGATGTAATGCAAATAACACAATTTAAGTCTTGGAAATTATATCAAAGGTAATAGGAAAAGCAAGATTAAAATATTAATTATGAAATAAATAATAATCTCACCTAATTAGAAGTCTTGATTATGTCTAAAAACCATTTTCAAGATAATTTTTTTTTGTAAATATGACTTTAACAAAAGATATTTTACACAGATGAAAAAAACCCATCTATGTTTGTAGAGAATAAAAACATATTTAACCATTATAAAGAATGTCGTGCAACAATTGGAAATCACCAATTATCTACATGGGGAAGGTTCCCATGACATTGGTAACCAATGTCATGGGATGACCCGGGGGCGCTCCGGTGTCCCGTTCGTAAAATTAACGATTCTTACCCCTTCTAACTCTTCCGGTAAACTCCCCCACCCCGTCCCGACCCGAACACACCCCCACCCCCTTCAATTACACCCCACAAGTCGATTTGTGGGGTGCAATTGAAGGGGGTGGGGGGTGTGTTCGGGTCGGGGCGGAGTGAGGGGTTAGAAGGGGTAGGAACCGTCAATTTTACAAACGAAACACCGAAGCAATTTTACAAACGAAACACCGGAGCGCCCCGGGTCATCCCATGGGAACCAAGGGGTATGTACCTATATACAATTAATAAAAGGTGAACGTGGTTGAAGTTTACAAAGAGTACAGATAAATAACAGAATTCAATTCGTTAAAAAACAACTTTATACTGTATGCAGTAATCTTAATTTTTTCCTCAAAAAAAAAAATTAAAATGCGTGTAGTTGAGGACTTGAAGTTTATGAAATCGTTAAAGAAATGATAGCTTTTTATTTGTTGATTAAAAGGACATCAAATACAGTTTGCCTTATTTATTATAATTCCTACATTCTACACCCTAATACTCCAATGATTAGCACTCAATAAATAATTACTCCGGTATTTGTGAACGAAGGAAACTTTTTTAGGGGTACACTTTTGCTTTTTTCTATTTTAGGGTGAGCCTAAATTGAAGTCTTTCAAAGTACAGCCATAGTAGGGGGAACAGCAAAGAATGTATCCCATAATATACATCAAAAATATGTACCAACATTTTAACAAGAGGTAATCTTACACCAACCAAATTCGTGCAACATCATTAAACCAATGTAATTGGAAGCATTTTAACAAGAGGTAATCTTACCCCAACCAAATTCACGTAACATCATTAAACCAATTTAATTAGAATATCTACAGTGCTCCAATTGTAAAACTGATTATTCTTGCTCCCTCTAGCCCCACAAATAAACCCCCTAGCCCACCACGTCACCAACACATCCCAGTCAATTTCATTGCGCCAAATTTGGATCTAAAATTTGACCCAAAACGCAACAACATTTGGAATACAACTTTAAGATGTACAAGTAGCTTAATTCCTCCTAGAATTCAAGATGGATGAGGTAGGCATGTGGCTTATTTTAAAAGTGAGATACTTAAAAACAAAATGGTTGCAATTAATCTCGAATCGAACTATATTCTGTAAGGAGATGCAAAGATTAGCATAATAACATGCTAATGGGGAGATTTCAGACCACATAAGGAGAACAAATGAGAAACAAAGACCTGACAGTACCTAAACAGAAGAATTCTACGAGTATTTTATTAAGCTAAAATAAACAAAAAAGATTGAAGTTCAAACACTAAAGGAGCCAATTGTTAAACCGAAAAAGTGCATTTCATTTCATCATCCATCAGTGACCAAATTCTAAAATCAAATCTTAGAAAGTAGCATTGGAATAGTAACATTAACCCAAAACTTCATTTGTTTTAAAACTTCAAATACCAAATTGAAATGATACAAAATTAAGAAACCCTCGCAAAATACCAGCTCGAAAGCCACTCAGGATGATACTGCTGCCTTCTTCCTTGGAGCAGCTTGAGTGCCTGAAATTGCAGAACAAAATTGAAGTCAATTCCCAAGAGAAAAACAGTAACAATCATCTAACACCTCTAGCCTGAGACACAAATGGTGAATCAAAAAACACACCTTCTCTGAAGTTGGTCTTGAAACGGCGGGGCACATGGCGGAGGTACCTCATGCGGCCAGTTCCGGTTGTCTTTCTACGGATCGCCTTCTCACTCCAGTTGTCTGATCCATATTCACGAACAAATCGACAGAAAATGATCAATTCCAACACCGATTAACATTATAGAGATGCAACAGAACTAATCAAATGGGTTAAATCGAGAGAGGAAAAGGGAGACTCACACTTCCTGATGCGGGCGGCAGGGTAGGCGCAGGCGGAGCAGCGGCTCTTCTGGAGATGGAAGCTCCGGCGGCCACACCTCACGCAGAGGGTGTGAGTCTTGTTCCTCCTCTTTCCGAAACTCCCTGTTCCCTTTCCCTGTGTTTTTTTCCAGTCATCGTAACAATATATCCATCAGATCTCGCCTCACACGTTACCATTCATAGATTACCATCATCGATACTACAGAGAATAGAGAGAGAGAGATTTACCATTGCTTTGCAGTTGCAGAAACCCTAGCTCCGTCTCAAACCCTCCGATGACGATCCGAGAAGAGAGAGATGACGCGGCGTTTATAAAGGGGGGTTTTGCGAGGTGGATCTTTGGGATATGGGCTTTGCCATTATTTTCTGGCCCATAACGTTTCCGTTTTTCGTTCTTAATTGGGCTTTATATGCTGGAAGGCTGGAAGAACTCTAACCTTTCCAAAATGGCTTTAAAATGGACGAGTTATTTCCATAAGGCCATACCCATAATTACAGTCATAGTTTTTTTTTATCATGAAAGTGTCAAAATGTGGTTATAATTTGTTTGGGAAATCGAAAATAATGTGAACAACGTATATTTTTTTTAAATAGAAAATGAGAGAAGTTTAAACTTTTTTTAGAAATGCAAAAAAGACAGCAAATTTGGTAGATGAAGTATAAAAATGTACTACGTCCCAATTTATATTGTCTGTTTTCGATTTACGATGTTTGCCTGTAAATTATTTTATAGAAAAAGTGTAGAATTAAAAAAATAAAAATTAAATATCAAAATATTACGGAGTACATCAAAAGATTTACAAAACTAGTGACGACATGACTATTTTATTTTTATCAAATGACAAAAAAAGTGAATGAAATTTAATCATGTGAAGAGTAAACAAGGAACTTAATTTGGGACAAAGAGAGTAAAACAAAATAAAAAAATTATATCAAAATTACACATTTTAGGGTGCATCTTTTTTGTGTTTGAAAAGTTTTATGGGATAGAATATATATTATGTACTCCGGTACTAGAGTATGTACAATCATCAAACACAAATATAGGTGTTGCGCTATGGAAAGAAAGTTGTTCCGGTTATTGATTTTTGGCATCGAAACTAACAGCTAACAGCTCTGCTTCCTTTTTTTCCTTTCCTAGTTTGCTTCAAGTCGTTCCAATTTATGAAAAAATATCAACAAGTATCTATTACATTTATATAAAAAAAAAACATGAACTTGGTTGTACTCGAACATGTATTTGCATCAATCTAAAGTAAATGATGGCTCTCTTAGAATTGTTAAGTAGATCAAACATCTATTCCCCTTCATAATTAATTTGCACCAAACCAGTAGACAGACATCGATATATTTTTGCAGATTGCTCTTTTTCTTTTCTTTTTTTTTGCAAGCCAGCCCTGAAACTGTACAGTGGGGGAAAGAAAAAGAAAAACAAAAACAAAATTTTCCCTACTAGTCCTCTCTAAGTACTCCAAACTTTCCCTTCTCTTCTCGGAACTCCTTAAACACGTAATCCAGCTCAGGAAATGCAGACGACAACACCAGCTCTATGAGATCTAAAGCTAATTGCTTCAAACAAACAGATGACTGCAAGGGAAAAGGGCACCGTATAAGATGGAATATATAAACACAGCTACGTGCCTGTTTGGGCTTGCTAGTTTTATGCTTGTCGGTCATATTCTCTCCCAAAAACTAGGGTAAATTTCACATAATGGCCTTCTATAATTAAATGTAGAATATTCCCGAATATAGAGGACCATTTGTGAAATTTACTCCACAATGTAATTAATCCCTCCATCACAAAGTAATCTTCCACTTCCCTTTTTTGGACATCCTAAAATAATCTTCTCACTCTTTTCAAGGAAAGTGTGTGGTAAACTTCAACTACAAATTTCACATTATTCTTAGGTGCCGTGTCATTTTCACATGAGAAGATAAATTTGGAATGGAAGGAGAATTTAACTGTGATGTTTACTGATATTATAAGGCTGTCCAAAAGTTAGGTTTTGGCTGATATGGCTAAAATGAAGGAATTAACACTTCCGCCCTTATTCTATTCTTAAAAGTGAACTATTTAAATATATATACTCCCTTCCTCCCAAAAGAACTTTTCATGTTATACAATACCAGGCTTCCGATAACTTATGTTTGCATGTGCTTTTTCATTAGTCATTTGAAAAAATAAAATACTCTTGTCACCACTTGTTTTGTAAAACTTTTGATGTAGTTTTTTAAAAAGGTAAGTTATACTGTTTATTTCTATACCAATTTGTATATAAAAACATTTTAAAAAATAGATGACATTTTGCACGTTGTTCGAAACAAAAATAAGTTTTTGGGATGGAAGGAGTAATATAATATATCCTCTAATTGACCCATGGGGAATGCTAGGGGTACCCCAACAATTATACAACCAAAGACAGACAGACAATGTGCCCGAACAGACATAAAACGTCTATGTTTGCCTTTGGTGTACAATTGTTGGGGTACCCCAATAATTTTCCGAAACCCATTTCAGAAAAAAATAGTCACTTCATCCCTTCAAGCTTTAGCAGACTTTTACTGTTACCAAACAGACCCTATATTTACATACTAATAAATGAAAAGGAAAAGAGATCACACTAGGATGATGACATCAATTCAAAACGTGTGAATCAAGAAATGAATTCAGAAAAAAAAATCAAATTTCCGAAAAAAGATTATCACCTGGATGAAGAAATATAGATCCTTCACACATTGTTCATACTCCTTACGGCCAACTAGACCCACAATAGCAGCTGGCGCCTTATCTGGAAGATAGCTTCAGCAAGCTAAGAACATTTTACGATCAAAGTATGGAATGCAGAAAACAGTATAGATGATAAGCCCAAATGTGTACCAATCATTAGCTCGTAAACTAATTTTGCACGTCTCTCATCTTCCACCCGCTGCATCTCATCTGGATTCTGGATTACCTCCACCTTAGACACAGATGTTAAAGTAGGGGTCCCATGAGGTGAATTACTGGATGGAGTTGCGGTTGGGATAGGTCGCTGTCTTCTTGGATGCTTTGTTATGAATATACCATCAGGCCAGAGAATCTGTGCATAGTGCAACATCTCAAGTGCTTGAGGTTGTTTTTTAAAAGGGAGAAAAGAAATAGAAGAAGATGAAATGGGTAGACAGGAAAATAAGAGAAGAGAAATATGTGAAACAGAGAGAGATAAAAGTAAAGAAATAGATTGAAATATTAAAGTGGTATGGTATGTTAAATACTAAAATTAACATATGGTATTGTCAAAAAATACTAAAATAAATATAATACTCCGTAATTAATAATGGGATTCTGATTCAATTCTAGGAGTGGCACAAACTCCAAGGTATTTCTCTTCATTCATTTCCTTTCATTTTAGCATGGGAACACTCCATATCATCTGTGGGGCCCACAATTTTATTCCAAAAATTCTATCACATTCTCATTCTACCAAATCATGGAAAGGATTTGAAAAATGCAGTTTCCCTTTCTCTCCTCTTCACTTATTTCCCACTCTATTACCCATTAATAAAAGACATGTACAAACCCAGGATAATCCCAAGAATCCCAAACTGCGTTGGGGTTTGGGGTCAAAATGCACGCAAACTTACCCTTGTAAAAAACAAAGAGGTTACTTCCATTAGACCCTTGATACTTTGCTGCATCTACTTCCCAAAAGCAAGGGAAGTTTGATGTGCTATACTGAATTAGTCTATATACACAAAAATAGAAAATTGTTTTTAAAAAAACTCTTTTAGCTCCATTGGCAATGGACGTTAAAAAGTTCGTAAACATCTAAACATTACTAACAAAGCGACGCTAAAGAAAATGACATATGTGCGGATGTGCCACAAACTACATAATGAAAATTGCAACGGGCTCAATCTACAAATTTCAAAGTTTTAAAACTAAATACATATAATGGCAGGAGATACCTGTTCAACACGCTTGACTCCTGCAGCAACTACTGACCCCAGTCGTAGACGTTGGATTTTTTCTATTAACCAGTCATCAAAGGCATCACCCATTCCCAATTGTAACACTTGTTTCGCAATCCAGAATGCCTGCCTCCTGTATATCTCAGAAAGTAAATTCACACCCCGCATCTATAACCATGAAAATGGAATTCAAAGAGAAAAGAACAAAGACACTTGGGCTCTTAACGTTAATCCCAAGATGCCCAAGGCTTTTCATATTAAAATATGTACTACGTATTAAATTACCTGATCCACCCACCATCCTGAAGCTGAAAAACAACATCCACCAAATCTAATATGGGAACACTTAAATTTGGGGGTATCCACTGCATTCAACAAACAAGCTAACAAAGTGACTGAACATTATTAATTGAATAGAAACAGACCAAAATGAAGGGAAAAATTAAAAAAAAATTAACAATTAATTCAAATGTGAAAAGGTCAAATCGATAAATTTGAGAAAATATGCATATAAATTAACACTCAATATCACATACTCTCTCCGTCCCTAAATAAACTTAAGTCACTATTCACAAGGTCAAGCTATATCATCTTTCTTTATTTACATTAATGATTTGTTACAATAAAATAGTGTTGTCACCACTTGTTTTATAGAACTTTTGATGTAGTTTTGACACGTAAATTTTATTTTTTAATTTTACACCAATATTAAATTAAAATGAAGTTTATTAGCATGAAGTTTATTAAAGGACAAAGAGAGTATTATCTAGTCATACATAAAGAATATACCCTTCAAAATTGTAATAAGTTGACACAATAAAAGATGTATATAAAAAGAGTGAACTATTTGTCAGTGACTACCTCACTTGGAAGAGTTGGATCAGCAGAATCATTGACAGGCAACTCAGATGATGCATGTGCAGTAGCATCGCCCACATTTGCCGCCTTCTCTGCTTTCGAGGAATAAATTGTTTTCTTCAGTACCACATTGTCAGAATCGCTGCTTGAGTCCTCAATAGAATTTCTGTTTTCTTTGTTGAGCTCTTTTGAGGAGAGCGCTGCTGCATATCTGTAGTCCAATCTAGAGGCATCCACCCCATGATTAGCTTTCATCCTTGAAGCATAGACATTTTTTTCATCATTAAAATGCCTGCTGTTGGAGGATATTGAATCAATCATGGGACCTATATTTTGCATTTGTTCTTTACTTCTTCCATGCAATGTTCCATCCAAATCAACTGAAACTGAAAATATAAACTTGTTAAGATGAGTTACAACCAGAAAGCACAGGGAGGACGCATTATGGAAGCACATTATTTACCTGACACCGTTTCAATGATTGACAGAGAGTTTGAGAAACTGTAAGTCTGTGCAATGGCAGATTTGAAAGTCTGAGACTAATTTTCTGGTCAATAGAGAATAAAATATTAAATCACAAACACGCACATACACACACAAACCTGAGAATCAACACTAAGGAAGTCCCAGACTTCAATTGAGCTGGAAATACTTGGGAGCTGCAAAAGTTTCTGAGGGGCCATAGCAAAAGAGGAAGATCAATTTCAGGTTAGTGACCAAAAGTGAAAGTATAAACACCATTTCATTTTTTAACCTATATGTGAAGAAAATTCCTCAACTTAGCAAACTATGAAAACCAGTTTCAATAAGGCACGAGCACACAAACACATCAATAGTGAGTTGGCAGCACCCCCAGTCCCCACCCTAAAGGAAAATGAAATTTGTGATACAACACCGTAAGAGAAAATGTCATGAGCTAAAAAGAATGAGCAAATACCAAAATGTGGCCACATCTCGCTCAACTGCAAGCCGGTGAAAACAGACATTGATTTTGACAAACAGCATTATGAAATGCGGGAAATATTTACTTCATCAAAGTAATCAATAACAAATTCTAGGAACAATGAACACCAATCACATTTAATCTATAACTCACAACTCGTTTCACTTTATCCTATTTGAAGGGGTGTAATTGAGTTTCAAGTAAAATGCTATAATTTAAACCAGATTTACACAAAAAATACCAATACAAGATATACACATACATAAAATGTAAAATATGGGTGGCTTGAAAGGAAATATCAAGACCCAGAAAGAAAAATGACCTTCAGATATCTGTCAAGCAATTTACACCGTTCTTGGACGACTGGCACATCAAGGCCGGTTGAGAAGAAATGCTTGGGCGGCAAATGAAGATTATATTCTGAAAACTCCTTAAGACGTCTATGTAGCTCCTCAAAGTGGCTGAACCTATCAATGGAAACAGCAAAATTCAGTTATATCATACAGCCCATTCATATACAAAACCTAATCATGAAGATGGGAGGAGTATGCATATGTATACCTTCTCTTTATTGACCAATTATTACTGTATGTGTCTGTAACAGATATTGAATAAACAGCAAATGTTTTGGTGCCACTTTTTACAATATTCCCACTTATGACCTACAGCAGAGAAATGAAATAACATCCTTTAAGCCTCATTCGTGACTATCTAATAAATGAGAACACAAAGCTAACAAGACATGTACCTCACATCTTAATTTCATAAAAGATTCTGCAAAGCTAGAGGATTTTGAAGTATCTGCATCCAAAAAATGATTCTCAAATAAATTGCTTGTAGCAAAAGAAGATGTTGCAGTTGTTCCACTAGATAGCCTCCCAGGCATTTCTGTCCCAGAATCATCACTTGAGTTCTCATGTTTCAAATAATCTTTAGAGGATTTCAGTATATCATGCCCATCTCCTGATAAGAAGCTTCTTCTTTCAATCTCTTGCCAGACATGTTCTCTGTGATCATTCATTCTAGACCTCTTTAAACCAGATGATGTTTTGCTTGATTGTTTAGACAGATTCTGTCCTTTAATTCCCTTCCTTCCAGACTTTTTCCTTTGTGTACTTTCAAGGGGATGATGGACATGGGTAACATTTCTTCTATTTTTACCATCCCATACTTTAATCACAGGAGATCGAAGACCAACACTGGTTTCTTCCTCTTCAGTTGAATGTGAACTGCTCTCTGACACATCCTCGTCTGACAGCAAGTCATCAAACTCATCATCACCCTGATAGGATGAAAGAAGGTTAGTTTATTCCAATTAATATGAAGAAAATCATTATATGTTATCGATTAGTTGAATACCTTGTTTTCACCATCGTTTCCATTATGCCGCAGACCTACCTTTGACGTGCGCACAGCTTTAGATGTACCTAAAGAACTGTGAGTTGGATCATAAGAAGGCTTCTTATCCTCGTTTGTTTTATAGTTTTTGCCTTTTGCCCACATGTTATCAAAATGTTCTGGGGCAAGAGCTTCATTCTTTCTGCGAGAAAACACATCTAGCATGTCACCCCACTCACCTCCAGAATGATGGCGTTTAACAAGTCTTCCATCATTGGAATGGGTTGGTGTAGGCAAGGCACTCCAAGATCGTGTTGATCGTGTGTCAATCAAAAGCAATGGATCTTTCGATAAGTCAGTTCCATTCAAATTGTCCTTCATATTGTTTTCCATGCTATTATCAGACACGTCCTTTTTCAATTCTACAAGTTCAACACCCTTAACAGAATGGTCTATGAAAGGAGAAAAAGTGTTGGATGACACTTTAGAGAATCCACTGGTGTTGGACTGTGGATGTACTTGGGTTGCCTCTGGAACTTTCTCGGTCTTTTTTAAAGAAGCCACTAAAATTTCAATCCTCTCATTAATAAATCTGTGGTCAAGTTCCCAATAGAGAAATAAAGATAAAAAGCCAAGAGAATTCAGCCAAGTGGCCCAAAAAAAACTAAAATTACACACAAACACAAGCATGCACACACACACACCTTGGGTTAGCTATATTCAGTACAGGCCGCATTACTGCACAAGCAAGAAGCTCCCTGACAATGTAGCGGAATAGAGAGCATTGTAGATCATCTGACATGAATGTAAATGAAATTAGGCCATCCATGAGGTGCTGGAGAACCTGCAATACTCAAGCCAGAATATATATAACTTATGTAAATATCCATCTGACTTGTATACATATTAATACAACAGGTAAATTTAAGGGAACAGTAAATAAGATAATATAAAGGACAGATTGAAAGAATGACCTTGTGCTCAGCTTCAGGAGAAAATAAAGCAGGATGCAATTTGCTCTCTGCAGCTAACATTAACTTAAGCTCCATGTCACGCTCTTCTATGGTTAGGGATCTTGAGTGTGTTTTTTCTATCTTCATTTTACAAACACGAAAAAGATCTAAATGGGAGCATAAACAATGGATAGTGTCTCTGCACCACAGCAACTAAATGATTAGATAGCATATACAGTTAACTGATAGGATCACTGGCAATGACATTTTCAGAACCAATAGTATATACCTTAATAAAAGATCTATAAGATTGATATTTCTCATGCGAAATGAAACTTCCCCCAGCACAGAGTTCATGATCTGCACAAGCTCTTCCGGAACTTGCTTATCAGGAGTTATACGAGCATACCAGAGATCTGTAACCCACTCAGAGACTATGTGTCTTGTGAAGTGATCTATTGCTTCCTCCACGATAGGTGAACCCACTTTCATTCTCCAATCAGACTTTTTAGATATAACTTTTGGGCACTCAACTTGTATTTTCTGGCAATCACTATCTACAGTGAATGACTTTCCCTTGTAAGTTGCAGCTTTCCTCCGTGCCTCAAAATCCAGTGATAGATAACGAAGTGAGAAAATCAAGAGAACGGCAGCAGGCAGGTTGACTAAAACTGAAGAGCTTGTCACTGTATATCAATAGAGAAAATTACCCATTCCAAAAGAAAGCAGCTTGGTTATGTGTTCAAAAGCAGTGAGAGTAATGAATTTTACTAATAATTAAAATGAAAAATAGAGACTATAGATAACGAAGTGAGAAAATCAAACGGCAGCAGGCAGGTTGACTAAAACTGAAGAGCTTGTCACTGTATATCAGTAGAGAAAAGTTACCCATTCCAAAAGAAAGCAGCTTGGTTATGTGTTTGAAAGCAGTGAGAGTAATGAATTCTACTAATATAATTAAAATGAAAAATTGAGACTATATGATATAGCATGCAGATCGCTCAGTCAAGCTGCGTTTTAAAATTTAATGACCAAGCAAATTGTTATGTGGGATAGAGACAAAATCACAAAAATGAAGGTCTTAACTTTTATTAATGCCTCAGTGAGGGTACGTGTGGTCCCTACATGTGGCATCGGAGCTAGGTTCATGCGTGCAGAAGTGGCGGACTGTGTTGTGCGGAGTTCCCGGTGTGCCCGGTGTGACAACATGACCGAAGCTATGGAGGCAGTGCCTTCTATTGAAAGTCTTCCTGACAAGTAGTGGTCGGGCAGCGTGTCCCCTTCGGTGTTAACGGCGGTACAAGATGATTTGGCAGATCAAATAGTGTGACCTTAGCGAATTGGTGGTCTGCGGTATACCTTGTGTCGAAAGTCTTCCCAACAGGAGAAGGTCGGGCGGCGTGTCCCGCAGGTGTGTAGCGGCGGTGCAAGATGGTGTGCAGATCAAACGAATAGTCACTGAAGGGGAGGTCATGGGATTGTGTGGTATGGGTTTGAGGGGAGGTTTGTTGAGGTGAAAACTCCATCCCACATCAAAAGTGGAGAACAAGAATTATCTAAATAAACATGGTTACCCAGAGATTCCATTAGTATGAGGCCTTTTGGGAGGAGCCCAAAAAAATCAGTGGACAATATCATACTAATCCGGGGTTGGGGTGAGGATACGCACAGTCCCAACATGGAGGACCTACTGGCATCAAAGCCTAGGTAGTACACACTCATCAGCTTCCACTGCCAACCCTAGCGACTCTAGGGTTTCTGGGTTTCTGCTGACACATGAGAAAACCACCGAGACAGTCATATGTTGACAATCCGAACAGCCTTGATGTTCAGTTTGCTGCTGCAATTATCGAAATACCTCTAGAAGGAGCAAGTCCAATTCTGGTAAAAGAAAAGGATTGGTTCAAAGAATCTCGTGTGCAGAAGAGGGTTACCATCGCAAAGGAGAAACCCACATATTCAGAATGAACTAGCTTGGAAGGTTCAACTGGGAATTTTTTGACAGTGGGAGCATAGGTCGTGCTTCAGTCCCAGTTCGACAGTGGGTTAGGAAAACAAGTATTCCGGCGTTGAAAGTTTCTCATGTTAACTATTTGCTTGGCTTGGAGAATGTAGGTTCTCAGTTTGTCTCGGAAGCCATGAGAGTGATAGACGTGTCATAGTCGGAGCTGGCAGAGAAAGAGAACGAGTCACGGGTCAGTGGGAGCTTCAACAGGCCTTCAGGTAACTAAAGAAAGGCCGCTGCAAATAATGGTAAATGAATATTACAAGTTACAAATACTGAAAAGTAAGGGGCGTTGTTTCGGGCCTCCAAGTGGGAGATTGTTAGGGGAATTGAGTGTGGAGGCTTGACCAAGAAGGGCAGCCGGCCCTAGTCTTGGTTCGACCCATATGGCAGTATATTAGGTTTTTAATTTAGTCGAGCCTAGTCCCTAAATGTCAATGTGGGCTTGGGCCTAACTAGGGAATTAAGCTTTTAACCCTAGTTTAGTCTTCATAAATAACTATCTTTGTACTTGTAATTCTGTGAGCACCTGAATAATACAAACCCTAGTTGCCCCTGTGGATGTAGGTCAAATTAGACCAAACCACGTTAAATCTCTTGTGTTCCTTATTGCTTTCTTGTTTTCTATTCGTGTGTGTGTATGTACCTCTATTCCTAACACCTTCTTCCCACAACAATGTTCCACATTTCCTATTTCGTCCCTCTCAAAAAACGGTTCCACTCTCCACTATTGGAAAGTTTTTGTGACTCTTATCGTCTCTCCCTCCTCTACACCACTTTCAAACTGACAATTTCACTTTTCTTAATCCCTGTGCCCGGTCAATCGTGAAACATTATTGTGGGACGAAGAGAGTAATAAATATAAACATAATAGTCGGTATACATATTGGTAAGTGCTTTGTCTTAAATAAGGTACATCCAAGGGCAGCACAGACAAATACTCCATATGTTAAAACTACAGCAAATATGCCAAAATGGTTTCTCCAAATATTGTTCATTTGTACTTAGCAAAAGCTTTATTGACTTAATCAATTGATACAAAGATTATCTAAATAATTAGATCGTTAGAATTAAGCATATCTAACCTATACCCTAAACAAATGTTAAACTGTATCTGAGGCAAGATAAAAATATGTCATGCGTGCATTATATCACCAGCTCATCTTGCCATGACTTCAGAATTCATTAGTCAACCATCTCAACATGGACTTATAACTTATAAGGGAAGAAAACTGCATATACAAACATATCATCATTATTCATGATTATAGTAGAGTGCATGTAGTTCCTGATTAGAACCATATGTGGAATGGCACCAATGCAAAAAAACAATCTGAATATATCCAGCAGGGGAAGAAGTAAATTGTAATTGTTTGTAGAAAGATGGGGGGTACAAAGGAAATAAATCATTTATGTTCTAGTCCTAATCGAGATTATCCAACCCTCACTGGTATATCTCAGACAAATTCGGCGCATTGACCAACTGATTCATTCATTGTAAGGAGTATGACACATTTCAGAGCTGGCTAGTCTAGTGAACTAACTGACCGGTCATTTGGCATTTGTGTTGTCATCTAAATAATTCTGGTTCAGAAGCAGAAAAATGAAAATGAATGCAGCAAGAAATGTGTTATATACATGTAAGTAGGCGTCAAGGGTAAACTATTAGATCCCCAACTGAGTAAGAGTGTCTTCTTCCTGTGACTGTGAATAAACCAAAACACATTCACGGAGCCAAATGTGTCAGACGACCATGAAACACTGTCGAATTCACCAGTCACAGTGTAAAACCCTAAGACATTAACCTACTGCAATCAATCCTCCATAAAACCACCACTCACAGATGGGAACCACTTCCAGCCAGAGTAAACATAACAAGTAGCAAACAATAGCCAAAGAAAACAAAGCAACTCACTCACATGACATGAGATACGAGAGTCCAACCGCGCAAACAATGAGAAGCACAATTCTCCTCTTTGCTTCCTCAACAAGGTCCAGAACCTTCACCGCCTGCCTCTCGCTGCTCATTTTCGGCCTCCGCTGAACAGAATCCTTTAACCCCTCCTCAATTCAACTGCAGGCTTTCTCCACAAACTTCGCCAATTCTCATCGATCAAAAAGCACAATAATCTTGCATAAAATCACAACTATTCTCAAATTTCGCAGAAACGCAAATTACCGGCGCGATAATGGCAATCGAAGGCTTCCAGGATTCGCTTTGATCCTCTGAGTCATGGACAGGTAGGTCTCCGCGTGGTTGTTGGTGGATGTATCCGTCTGTCACTGGCCTGTGCATTTGCGGGTGAAATAATTGGTGTGATTTGGAGAATGAGTGTAGAGCGGATTTATCCCCCTCGGACTCTGAAGTATTCTCTTTGGTACGGAGTGCAACGGAAGATGAATGTCGGGGCTCCGGCCTCTGAATATAGACGAACTGGACCTACGGCCTACGGGCGATGCTTGTGAGTCATTTTTTGGTAGATGAAAATAGAAAAATGTTTTAGTCACCAACACAAACATTCCAAAATGAGAGTACCAAACAATTTGAAATTAATATAGTCTTTATTTTCACACGTTTATTCATTACAATTACAATCTTCATTTACAAACAACATAGCATTCATTCTAAAGTAGTATAGTGTTCATTTCAAACATGTTTATCATAGTTTTCATCTTGAACAACGTAGCCTTCATTCTGAGTAACTAAAATGATCAAAGTGATTGATAAGCAGGTAACCACCAAGCCACAGCTTCAAACATGGCGTCGCCACCACCTCCACCTGCTGCAACGTTTCATCATGTCCTGTTCGATCCACGGATTGAATGGAGATGGTTGTGTCATATTCGCATCTAGGGTTTTGCCCCTCCGCCGTTGTGCTCGTCATTCGCGGTCGTCTTCAAGAAGTCGCCATCATCGCTTTAGGTGAGATCTTTTTCGTCACACTTCACTTCGTCGCACCTAGGGTTCGGCCTCCCCTTCAGTCGATGCAATGTCGCTCTCTAATTTGAAACTAGCTATACCGAAAAAATGATATACCCTAGAGTAACGTATAGATTGGTACCGTATGAATTACATACATCAAACCTGAGTTGAGTGTCGTGGACTCAACCCTTTCAATCACCACCCTCTTCCTCGGCCAGGCTGGGCACAAGCCCACTTTTGGGAGCATGATTAGATTTTGAATTGAAGTCCTCCCCCAAAACATCCAAACAGCCAACCTATATAGGGCGCTGTCAGCCGGTCACTTAGGTGGCCCGGCTTGTTGGGCCAGCCCACACCCCTATGATTTGTCAATCATTGGTCTATATATGCACCACATGTACATTAGCAAAGGTATAAATATCTTTTCCGACACGTGGAAGATGACGTCCTAAAAAAACTAAACAAGAGAAAACCATAAAATGTGCACAAATAGAATTTCCATATTCTTATTTCCAAATAAGAGTTACAATGCAAATACAATGCCAATTATATTAATATAGAGTAAAGTGCATTGTTTACCCCCGTATTCTTTAGAAATTGCATACTTTACCCTTGAACTTTAAAAAGTGCATCGATTACCCTCGAATTTTTCGAAAATTGCACGATTTACCCCTGCACACTAAAAAATGCACCAAATACCCTTGAACAAATTAAACCGTTGCATCGTTCGTCCTAAACTTTTATATAGGGAGTGTGTTGCTTCCACGCACAAGAATTGCGAATATGATTCATATGGCCCTTGTGAATTTTCTAAAGTACCTTTACCCAAATTTGTCGTTTTTAACTAAATGTTCAGGAGTAAACAGTACAATTTTCGAAGAGTTCAGGGGTATTTGGTACAAATTTTATTGTTCAGGGGTAAATCGTGCAATTTCTGAAGAATTCAGGGGTATTTGGTGCACTTTTTAATGTTCGGGGGTAAACCATGCAATTTTCAAAGAATTCGAGGGTAAACGGTGCACTTTTCTCTATTAATATATAACACCAAAACGTATTGTTAAATGTCCATATACAATGTCAATTTTTACAATGCAAATTTCTATTTTAGAAACAAAAACATGAATATTTCGGTACTTCTTTTATGTTTTATTTATATTTATGGTGAATCCTTTTCTAAAATAAACTCTACACTTATGTTATTTCTTAGTTTGGTTATAAATATGTGATTCAAAATCATTTTTACTTACGTAAACAAATTCAAATTTCACATTTTTTACGTTTTAACAATTTTTTGGCCGCCAAGTATGTTTCTGGTCGAGTTTAAACACTCGGAGGGAGTAGAATGGGACTTTAAGCCATTGTAGGAAAAAAAATAGAGACCAGCCCCATCTTAGCTTTCCATTTCGTGCTTCTCACTTTTACATTTAAAAAATTGACAAATTGACAAAAACTTTTCAAATTATGGTGGCTTTTAATGAAAAAAAATGTATTTATATTATCCTATACAATATAATTAAATATAGGATCATTAAATATAATTTTAAATTGGGGCTCGAACATTAGAGCACTATAAATACTCTTGAAGCCCCAAAGCTTTAACATTTCTTTCTCTGCCACATCAGCTTTAACTTACCTCGTAATTTCACTAGAAATGGGTCTGAAGCTCCATGGCTTCAAATTGGGGCTTCAAACCTTTATTTTTTGACATTTTTAATGCACATTTTATAAAACTAAATTGATAAAGCTTCACATTAATTAAATTTAAACAATAATAATTTATTAAATAAAAAAATTGCATTAAAAACATTTAATAAAAAAATATATTGATAAAAAACTAAGGCAAATTATATTTGGTCTTGATGTCTTTTTGTCTTCTCTCGTAAGGCATACGTTTGAAGCCGTTAACGTATCAAGGTCGTTTCCATTATTTTCGACATCTTTTTTCTCTTGCCTTCGTTTCTCTCTCTTCTTCCATAATATTGAACACCCGCAACTGTTTAATCATTCCCCGATCGATATCATCTTGAGAGGAAATAGGGTCGGACCTTACAAAACCTGAGGCAATGGATTTTTCCTTCTTCCTTCCGACTGGCCATTGAAATGAGGTCCTCATCATCAGAGTCGTCTAGTTGAAGGGAGATCTCTATTCTGAAGAGTTGATATTCTCATCGGCCTCAACCTCGGCAAACAATCTTTTCTTTGGCAATTCGGCCTCAAGGTTATTGAGTTGTTGCCATTTTGGTGAACGGCTTAAAATTCTCCAAAGATCGACAATGACATTGCCTTGGTGTCCGTCGTCTTGATACCGGATGGTGACTTGCTGCAGAACATCACCATCATTCGTCACGCTCTTCCAGATCCAAGAGCATTCCTCGTAAACTCTGGTAAACTTTCGAACTTTGCGCTTGATGTGGCCCATTTGGAAATGAGTTGGTCTTGGGTTTGGTAGGAGAGGTCTTTATTCATCATCGCAAAGAACTTCTCCTCGATATGATCCCACGTCGCATACTTCGTTTGCTCAAAACCTGTAAGAAATACGGAGTACATAATTGAAGGAAAAAATATTTTAATGCAAATATATAAAAAATAGAGTAAATTCCATAAAAGGTCTCCGGTTATAGGTCGTTTCACATATTTAGTCTATACATATCAAATATCAATAATTTAGTCCCCAATTACTCCGTATTATATTGTTTTTCACAAATGGTCCTTTGTTAACATTTTCGTTAAGAACATGGATAAATTTTATATTCACACTTCTCTCCCTCCTCAATTAAGCTTTTTCTCTCCTTCCTGAATCCGTCGCTGAGTTTGAAGCTCTAAACCCAAAACCAAAACAACCACTCTTATCTCAATTGTTCATCTTCCTGGTCACCCAAAATCAAAACCAATAACATTCATAAATGAGTTTTACGAGTTAGTCTCAAAAAATTGCAAAGTAAATAAATCTTAAAACTCATCAATGAAGGTGACTGGTTTCGAATTTTGGATTCCAGACGAATAATTGAGAGAGGAGTGATGATTTCGATTTTAAGTTCAAAGCTTTAGACTTAGTGATGGGTTTGAAAAAAGGAGTGTGAGTGGAGAGAGAAATATTAATTGAGGAGAGAGAGGAGTATGCATTTCCGATTTTATATGCGTTCTTAACAAAAATGTTAACAAAGGACCATTCGTGGAAAACAATATAATAATTAGGGACTAAATTATTGATATTTGACATGTAGGGACTAAATGTGTAAAATGAACTATAACTGAGGACCTTTTATGAAATTACTCTAAAAAATAACATATATACAAATATATTATAAACAAATAAAGTTTACCAGCGATAGGATGCCCGAAGACATCAACCCAAGCGGACGCCAACGACGATTCTTCCTCCGAGGTCCACTTTTGAATGGGCTGTGCCGCCTCGATTATCAGCTTTTCGCTCTTCGGTTTGTGACTCTTCCGACGTGCACTTTTTTTGGCGCACTTGGTTCTGGTCGAGTCTTCGGAACTAACTCTGGGCACTGGAAATTACTGAGGGTTGTGTATCATACATCGACGAATTACCGGTGTATGATTGGAAATCTACATTGCTTCCTCGTTTGGCTTGAGACCGGACAAAGGAACGTTAAAAGTGAAGAGATTCATGTTAAAAATAAAAACAAATATTGGAATAATTTTTTTAAGAAAGAAGAGAGAGAGATCTGTATTTGTGGTGTGTATTGAACTTTAAAAAAAGAGATTGAAGATATAGAAAAGAGAATTTTTTTTAATTCCAACGACATTATAGCCGTTGTGGAGGGAGGGGGGGGGGGGGGTTAAACACCGGAGACGTTAAAATCAGAAAAAAAGCCCCCGACGTTGGGTAAATTTCACCAATGGTACTTGAATTTTAGCTGGAATTTCGAAGTGGTACCTAAACTTCAAATCCTTTCAAAAAAAAATTTGAACTTACACAATTCATTCACTAATAGTCCATTTACCCGTTTCTAGGTTAACTTCCGGTCATTTGGGCCAAATTAGAATTTTATATATTTTAAAATTTTCAATTTGACCCCATTTCTTCTTTTCTTTTCTTCCGCACCCCGCCGCCGGTCAAAGTCGCCGGAAAATGAACTTGGTCCGATTCCGGCGGGACCAACGCCATTCTCTTCGTCTTGAGACGAGGATCAAGAATATCCAAACCATTTTATCCATTTTGGCCTGTAACTCCTCGAATCTGAATTTTTCCACTCGAAAAATCCTAAAAATCGAAATTGGGTCCAAAATTGGGGGTTTTGCAAATCGTCATCAAATCTTGCAATTGAGGGGTCCTTGGAGGTCGCCGTGATGCCACGAACACATTGGAGTGGATGACCGGCGTCAATTTCACCGGATTTGGCCGGAAAACGCTCCGACCCGCCGGCGGTAGAAAAGAAAAGAAGAAATGGGGTCAAATTGAAAATTTTAAAATATATAAAATTCTAATTTGGCCCAAATGACCGGAAGTTAATCTAGAAACGGGTAAATGGACTATTAGTGAAAGAATTGTATACGTTCAAGGATTTTTTTGAAAGAATTTGAAGTTTAGGTACCACTTCGAAATTCTAGCGAAAGCTCAGGTACCATTGATGAAATTTACCCCCGACGTTACGTGTATTACCAGTGGTCTTAGAGTTACCCTTTTTTTGAAGTCCCACTCTAATGTGTGGCTTTTGGTCCATTTAAAATGAGATTTGGGACTTTAACCATGGATATGCTCTAATTGTACTTTGCACTCCCTAAATTGTAAACTGTTCGGAGTTCGGACCCGATATGGTCGGCTACAAACAAATCCCTACGATTCAGAGGACCGGGAAAGGAATCACGGCATAGAAAAGGAATGTGGGTTCCGGCAGCACGTGGAAATCGACGCGCTCTTTTTTGTCCGTAGCTCTATGGCGCACAAAACTACGCCGTTTTCGTCATTGATCAGTTTCAATCCCACCCTCTGTGTTGAAAAAGAACCACAAAAAAAAGCTCCTCTCTGCGCGCTCGAGATTCTTCTCTTTTTCGTCACTCTCTCCATAGTCGTCTCTGCAGTCCAGCCAAAAGGGTTCTCAAAGGAATACTAATCACATGGCGTAATTGGGGCAGCAAAACCGGGAAAAGGGGTTACTTGTATTGATCTCCGCCGCCGCCGTCGCCGGAAATCTACAGAGGGGAACTTGTCCGATGTCATCCGATGATCTGGCCGGTGGGTTTTCTCCGCCGCCATTGCTGTCGCCGGATGACTCGACTAGTAACTCCACCTCCGCCGCTCCTCTGTCGACTCGCAGCCCGCCTGCCGTGGAAACTGGGCTCGTACCCTCCCCGGCATCGAATAACAACAACCAAGTCAGGACTGCCCTCCTGGTTGGAATAGGCATAGGCGGAGTGTTTATGCTAGTTTGCGTGGGCATTATCGTCTTTTGGTACAAGAGGAGAAAGAGGGCTCTTGGTTTGGATGGTCGCAATTATGGGAAAGGCTCCAAAGGTGAGATTTCTGATCACTCTTTTCAGTCTTTTGGTGAAAGGTTGGATTTTTTTTTTGAAACGGGGTTTGTAAAGGTTCTTTTATGGAGGAAATATTTGTTTATTAAGTTTCCCTAATTTCTTATGATTCATTTTCTTAGATTGAGAAAGTGTTGGATTACTGTCATTGTCTCAATTTGATGTAAAACATCAATTTTGTTTTGTCTGGATTCATAGTCTTTCACAAAACCTCATTGTCAGGGATGAAGATAATCTATAATAACGAATCGGGATAGTGAGTACCTCTAGAAACACGAACAACTGCATATTAATTGAATTTGAAAAAGATTGTAATGTCAAATGTAGACTTTGCATACACATTTACGCGACTTGTTTCTTGATGCCTCCTAGACTCCAACTGAGTTTGGATTATACTTGGTTTTGTTGTTGTGGTTGTTTCTTGATGTCCTTGGACATATTTGGTAACACATGTTACATTTTTCTATATGACCATTTTGTAGCTCCATCAAAGCCGTCTCTTCAAACTGGCATTGTATCATCCCTCCAATCCCAATGGTCTCCGGCGGTTGATGTTTCTAATCAGCCGCGACCTTCCACTGGCAGCGTATCGAAACCTACTTTCACTTATGAAGAATTAGAAAAGGCAACAGATAACTTCTCCAATACCAATCTTCTTGGTCAGGGTGGTTTTGGATATGTTCATAAAGGAGTGCTTGGTGATGGGAGAGAGGTCGCGATAAAGAAGCTAAAAGTTGGAGGTACACAGGGGGAACGCGAATTTCAAGCAGAGGTGGAAATTATTAGCCGCGTTCATCATTTGCATCTCGTTTCACTGGTGGGACACTGCATTTCTGGGTCTCAGAGGTTGCTAGTGTATGAGTATGTTCCAAACAAAACTCTGGAGTTTCACTTGCATGGTTAGTCCTTGCTCATGTATCAATTTTTTGGTTTTGCTTTTGAAAAAAAGAAATTATGGATTTTTAACTATAATTCGTTATTATTTTTGTCTCTCTTACAATTCATAGACTCTCATATACTCTTCTAGTCCTCTTTATATGGCACATTATGAAAGGAGTTGACGGTTCATTTATACGCCATTGTTTTTTTCTAATGAAGTACGAGTATTTATTACTCCCCCGTCCCATGAAAAGAGTTTAGTTTCTTGACATGCTTTTGTCCCTAAAAAGAAGTCCTATTCAAGGAAATGAAACTAATTTTCATTGTTTTATAATGGTTGTGCCTTAAAATCTAAAAGTGGTACCTTGCTAATTTTCATATTTAAGGAAAACAAACCTCTTTTAAAAAGTAATCATCCACGAGACATGATAAGAGCGTTAAGTTGGAATGTCATAATATTTTTCTTTCAAGAACTCAAGAAGATGAACTCTATTGACTCTAAATTTTCCAATTGATTCTTCATAAAACTCAAACGGGAAACCTTTTATCAGGCAAGGGGCTGCCTCCAATGAGTTGGGAGATAAGGATGAGAATTGCTTTAGGTTCTGCCAAAGGATTGGCTTATTTGCACGAAGATTGTGAGTTTTGACATTGTATCTTTCTTGTCAATAATTATCACTGTATATATTTTTTGTACCGTGAATTTGAATTTTATTGTTTTTGCAGGTCAACCTATGATCATTCATCGAGATATAAAGGCCTCCAATATTCTGCTAGACAACAATTTTCAGCCAAAGGTGGACTCATATACCTGCATCTTCACTAAATTGTGTGAAATTGATTTGCATTGGTTGGAAATGGATAAATGTGATTCCCATAGATATCTATAAAAGAACAAGATGTTTGTGCTTTATGAGAAATCAATAGTATACATTTCATCTTAACTATCGTACTATGAGTCTTCCCGGCCATATGAAGAAATTCTGAATCCTTTTACTTGATATTACTCACAACATTCTGACTTTTATATTTGTTTCCGGGATGTATGATGGCCTTGTTGACTTGACCATGCTATGATTTTCACCGACCAAGAAATTTTACATTATTTCCTTATTCAGGTTGCAGATTTTGGTCTCGCTAGGTTGAATCCCGATGCAGATACTCATGTCTCCACCAGAGTAATGGGAACTTTTGGGTAAGATGTTCTGATTCTTATGTAATCCACATCGAGGAAATATAAGAGTAGAAATGAACACAAAGCCTTTAGGTACTCTTTTTAGCTAAGTATTGAACTCTAAGTCTCAATATGGTATCAATATGTACCATGCTCAAATGTGCAGTTTACTTTTGCCATGCCTAAAAAATGAGCACATGGTTCTTAAGAATTATAAAATTAGGTTGAGTGTTTAGTATGAAACATCAAATGTCGCAGGGCATAACCATCTAAAATCAACAAATAAAAAATACAGTACGGCATACAAGGCATTATCTTACTTCCATTAGGTTGAGTGTTTAGTATGAAACATCAGATCTTAATCTTTATATTGGTGGAGCTGTTTTTGATGCAGTTAAACTAGCACACTGATGTTTGTTCTCACAATTTTTATCATATTATATTAACAAGCATATACTTCTGCAGATATTTAGCTCCAGAGTATGCTCTTACAGGGAAACTGACTGAAAAATCGGACGTGTTCTCTTTTGGAGTCATGCTTTTGGAGCTGATAACTGGCCGACGACCACTTGATAAATCTCAATACTACCTTGATGATAACATTGTTGATTGGGTAAGTCTTCTTCACAAGTACCATATTTTTTTTTTCCAAAACTAACTTTTGAATTGTTAATAGTGTTTGTGCTAAAGCTATGTTTGGTGTGATGTAATTAACCATGAAATGTAATGAGCATTATGTATTGGGTTCGACATTTTACTAGAGCCGCAATTGAATCGGTATTACAAAGGGTGTGTTTGGTTAGACCGGAGGGTTGATGAAGGAGAACTTAACCTTTTTTTGGTTTGTTAATTTGAGCTTGTTAGGTTGGAAAAAGTTGTAGGGGAAGGAGTGGGAAAGTAAATATTACCTCTTTCCTTCCCTCCCTTTCCCTTCAACCAAACATAACCACAATCAACTTTACCCAAAAACGTATGGAATGGAGATTACCCTTCGTATAAGGTAGACTTGTTTATATGTCTTGTGTCAACATTGTCTTCTCCATTTTCCTTCATCTCCAAAACAATAACCTATCTACTAGTATGGGATGGGAGTAGGTGTACCATGTACATCTTACCCTTACCTAGAAAAGGTAGAGATTTTTTTTTTTCAAAAGGCAAATGTTAGTAGAGTCACTAGAGTTCAGCAGGTAAAGATAAAATATAATTCTTAAGTTAAAATTTTAAACGGCAAGGTTCTGTTGACACTGCATCCAGTGTCAACAGTTGACGCTCCCTCATTTTTGCGAACGGAACACCAGGGGAGCTCCAAATGAGCGAGTGTCATCCGTTGACACTGGCATCTATTCGTCAAATCAGTAAACAAAAAGACAGTTTTCATAAGTTTTTTTTTACAGAAGCGCTTTTGAAAAGTTCTAGTCTGTATTTTTTTCATGTTTGAAACTTCTAACTTGTTGAAATCTCAAGCTCTACTACTGCAAATTGTATCTCTTTTTTCTAATGCTTAATTTACAGCAAACCCTGGGAATATGTATGGAAAGGTAACACATTGTCATGAGTGCAGGCAAGGCCCTTACTTTCACAAGCACTTGATGATGGAAACTTCGATGCTCTAGCCGATCCAAAGTTAATGAACAATTATGATTCCTCTGAGATGAACCGAATGATCACTTGTGCTGCTGTTTGTGTGCGCCATTTGTCACGAAGACGGCCGCGCATGGGTCAGGTACCTTTCAAATACATTCCATTATCTCATTTTGTCTGTCAAAATTTGCATATGGCGACTAGGGCTGTAAATGGATAACCGAAAATTCGATTAACGTCCGCATCCGTGTCCGTTGATACGGAAAATATCCGCATCCGTTAAAAGTGGTTATTATCCGTATTTGATTAAGGATATCCGATTGGTAAATGGATACGGATTTGGTAACCATACATGATACATCCGATCCGTTTATAATCCGCTCCGCATAGACATCCGTTTAAGTAACTGTTTATCCATATATCTGATCCGTTTAAGTAACTGTTTATTATTATATTATATTTTTCAATTGACACTTCAAAATATATGTGTAGACACATAAAAATATGTGTGTATGTGTATTGTTTATATCTTTTTATCATATGGAGTTGTCGTAGAATATTATAAATAATAAAAAATAAGAAAAAGTTACTCTGTAACAAATTATAATTCAATAAATAATATTTTGACTTTAATTTAATTGGAATTTAAAGTATTTTTCAATTTAACTTAAAAAATTGGAAACGGATACGGATATATCTGATATCCGACCAATATCCGATGGATGTGGATACAGTTTTGATTTTTAGTATCCGTCAAGATCCGTATCCAATTCGATATCCAATAAAAATGAACGGATACAAATCTGGTAATGGCACATCCGATCCGATTAATATCCGTTTACACCCCTAATGGCGACCATTTCTTTGTTTGATGATGATGGTGGTGCAGATAGTTGAGGCCTTAGAAGGGAAGGTAGAATTGGCCGAGTTAAACGGGGGAGTTAGACCGGGACACAGCTCGATTCAAGAACCGTTTGGAAGCTCGGATTATGACACGGCACAATACAAAGAGGACTTGGTGAAGTTCAGAAAGATGGCATTACAACAGCACGACTCCAGCGAATGCAGCGGGCCCACCAGCGAGTTCGGCCCCCTGCCTTCTGGTTCGAGTAGTGAAGCTGGAAACCGACAGGTGCGTCCGGAAACCACCGTAACCATAGAAATTCAATAGACTCTCGGCCTCAAAACGACGACTAACCTTCCAATTCTTTTGGGTAGAATATCGATCTTGATGCCGCCAGTTCTGTTCATAGTTTTGTTCTGGTTGCATTGCAGGCATTATTATTGTTCTTCTGCAATTATTTTTTAATATTTTTATTGTTTGAACCTTCAATTTGGAGCCAACCATTACAATGTAAGTACTTCATTTTTATATGTGACAAAAAAAATGCTTTCTTTTTAAGTCCTTGTTTGGATCCAATGGTTATTAAGAGCTGTTGGAGGGTTTTCTGCTTTGTGTGGACTGTTTACCAATGACTAAGATTTTGTTTTCTAGCAGTCTGGGAGCTTGTTTGTGTGATTTAATCTACTTGGTTGTAAAACTCTTATGGAAGAGTTAATGTTTAGAGGAAAATTAGTGTAACAATAATTACATCTTTTGATTTTATGTTTGGTTTATGGATCTGATTATGTATGCATTCAAGGTTTTTAGAATGATTAATGAAGACATCCCCAACATGATTGATGATTAATTATGGACCTTAATGGTGACAAATTGAAAAAGGATATTAATGACAGTAATGGAGAGGTCGACAACAAGATCCAATGGGGACACCGGACACATTAATGAATGTCACAAAGATTTAGGGCTTGTTTTATTCGCGTGATTTGTTCGGTTTTGATATGATTAGTTTTATTTAAAGTTATATCTAATTTGATTAAATTTTATCTGATTCTAATAAAATACTCCTTCCGTCCCGTTTTAAATCGCCTGTTTTGACTTTTGGGCATATTTAAGGAAAAGAAAAAATAGAGTTGATTTTCCGAAATTGTCATTACTTTTTAAGAGGGGTGACGATGAATTAAAATATAAGGTAGAAAATAAGTAACAGACAATTTATTTTGGGACGGAGAAAAAAGGCAAACAGACAATTTAAAATGGGACGGAGGGAGTAAGTAATAAGAATAAATTGAAGAGGACAAACTCTTAATCCTTTCTTAAAGAGTCCTTATTTTCTTTTTTTTAAGATGACTTTTCAAAAAAACTCTTTTTATTTTTGGATTTTTTTGTGGTATATATTCTTTCTCTTCTTTGAATTACATTTAACCACAAAATTTTATTTTATTTAAATAATTAAAATGTTTTTTATATAAGGAGCATAAAATTATCAAAAAAATATTTTGACATATAAAATACGGATTATTTGATAATAGAAGACTAAATATGAAAACTCTCTGCTATAAATGACCAATTATATAATTTACAATTAAAAAAGACTATTTATGAAATGATGCCTATAAAAGAAAGACGACGTAAATAATATTTGATAACAGAGAACTAAATATAGAAAATTGAAATTTACTCTAAAAAGAAAAAAAAGTGAATGTGACTTCACTTGGCGAAGAGGCTTTCCATTGCACCCGCGTAGCTAGGGCACGAGAGAGCAGTAGAGTTTCGAACATGGAGGAGGGATTTCTGGACAAAATCCGGCCACCCAGATTGGAAGATGCCGGCCTCGAAGACTGCGCGCTTCCCCTGGAATCCATCAAAGAGGCTTTCCTCAAGGCCGCCATCGCGGTCCGGTCGTCAGCCATTTCCCCGTCGGACGACGATGCAGATGGCAGTTGCGTGGACGATCCGTGGCCGGTCGCCGCAGATTCATCGGATTCGCTCCTTGGAATAGCAGATGGAATAGGCGGAAGCACCGATAGTTGCGTCACCGAGAAGCGAACTGAAGCCGCCGGCGATGAGGTTGTCGTGGTCGGTGCCGGCGAAAAGGAAGAGAAGTCTGATGCGCTCGTGGCGCCCGGTGTGCCTGAAGGCGGCCAAGCTTGCATCGATTCATTAAAAGGACTATCGATCGGTGAAAATGCTAAAAATTCAAGCACAAATCGGGATGATGATGGGGATGATGATGACCAGTTAGAAGATCAGAAGACGGAAAAACCGACCCTGGTTGAGGATTGCGTTTAACAGAACATTAGTATGATCTGTGTAATAAGGTGTGAATCATTTGTGTTTATCTAATATGAAATCTGAATGATTATCAGATTGATCTGATAGATGATGATGCTTTTATGAATCAAGATTTTCTTTATTTTTTCTGGCCAAGTTTCATCACTCTTTTTTGTTGATTCTAACTCCTGTTACTAGAAAACTGGTAAAATTACCAGACATTCAACGGTTTCTTTCTCATAACATGAAGATTTTTTTTTTATTTATAAATTGCATGGAAAACAAGCCCCTTAACAAAACTTTCTTGGAGCAATCAAGAATTGAATTGCTACACTTGTTCAGGTGAGTACAAGTATGCCCCTTACTAATGAACAAATCTATAATAAACCCATGTATAAAAATCAAAGGTTTTTGTTTTTTGTTTTCAATGTTCTTCGTGTTCTTCAGGAATCTGCCTTGCTGTGGTGGGTGGGTGCCTGGTCAGTTTCCTAAAGCTCGTCTTTCGTTTTGGTTCCCCGCTCTTTCAATGTCTTGTTGATGAGTGCTGCCAAGTCTTTCAAGCTTGACTTTGTAGGAAATTTAATCTGCAAAAAGAACATCAGAATTCAGAACCGAACGAGGCAACATTAAAAAAAGGCACTTTTTTTAAAAAAAAATGTAAAATAGTTACTGGGTTCGATTTGTCTGTCTCTGGGTAGAATAGCAACGCCGGATAATCATCAACCTGCACAGAATTGACATAATACAAACATGTCTCAGTTTACCCCGAAGATTCCTTAGTATAATCTCGCTATTCAGCTATCAATCCTCACATGCACCACATAGGTCCTAGGAGCCTAGGACCCACAAATTGTCGCCGTACACCTAACGTCTAGTGGCTTTTAATTTCCAGCACACCACAAATTCAAATATGGGATACCCGGCCACGCCAATGGTTATAGCTAAAACAAAGAAATTAACTGACCTGTAAGTTGGGATGTTCATTAGCGGAAGCATCTATCCTTGCAAAGACCAAATTTTCTAAACCCTTGAAATGCTTGGCCAACTTATCCATTTGTTTACTTGTCGTCTCGCATGAGATGCACCATGGCGTGTGTACCTTGAGCAGATAACATGGAACAAAATTCATCTTTAATGCAACTAATCACATTCAGATAACTTAACTACACTAATATATGTTTAACTAGATAACTTAACTACAGTAATATAGTTTTAACTAGACCTGGCAATTGGATCAACCGGTTCGGTTTCAGTTCGAGGATAATGTTCTATGTTCTAACAAGTAACAACACACTTCTCATTTTATCGTTTTATGATTCGGGTTGGGTATTATTTGGATTCCATTGTTGTGGTTCTATTCGGGTCTATTCGATTTAGGTCTAATCGGTTTCGGGCCTAATTTGAGTCTAATAGGTCTTGGGCATAATTGGGATTTGACTGAATTTGTTTCTGGTTCGGTTTGGTTCGGTCATCTCGAATTCTGATTGTAGATCGAGGATTCATTTTTTTGGGTCATTTAGGGTTTGGTTTTTAGTTATTTAATCGGTTCTGGGTCTGCTTCGTTAGGTCTAGGTTTACCAACGTAAATCACATTCAGACTCGAAAGCAGCATCTTGCAAAAATGCATGTTAAAGTTTACCTACATAGTAGCACCCTCATAGTGTACTCTTTCGTATGGTATATTCGTCGGGCACATGCATAAGTTAAAAATGAAAGTAAAAGTCCAGACAAACCTCGAGAAGAATGTTTTTGTGACTCCTCAGTATCATGTCATCAAATGTCTTTCCAACCACATCCAGAATGTTTTTGTCTGTCTGCAAATTTACATGCCCGGATCATTCATTGTCAGTGAGATTGATGCTTCCAATTGAAAAAGTGATTAGTAATGAAATGATTCGTACTCCCCCATCCCACAAAGAACTCGTACTTTCCGTATTACCCAAAAGAAATTCACATTTCTGCTTTTTCATTTTGAGGAAAGTAATCTCACAACAATTCTCTCTTCTAAACAAATTCCAACTAGACTTTTCAACACTTTTATTAAACTCCATAAAGTCAAATAGTGAAGTTCTTTATAGGGCAGATGGATTATATATACCCTCTAAATGCTAGTTTTATACTTAATGAGAATGCTTATTAGCTGGGATATTGCCAAACAGAGCTGTAATAGTATGGGGTTCCTGGGTAAAGTTCAGGAGAGACTCACATTGTCAGGTACTGGCTGTGATTTGTAGTATGGCAATACAATCCCATCCAAAAGTCCGGAGCAGAAGTCCTACAGATTTAGAACTTTAATTAATTTATATTAATCAGAAAGAGTAAGAATCTGAAAGAACAAAAGAAGGCAGTCTAAATTATTTTACTTCAATGCTTCTTGGTGTGGCAGGGGACTCCAACAAGTACTTGGAGCCGTCAGTGTAATTAAAAGCAATTACCTAAGAATTCACAGAAGGAAAAAAACGATATCATCAGCTAAATGAGTTAGCTTATGATAAGATATTCAAGAGCCCATTTGGTAGGTTTTATTTGCAGCTTATTGACCTTATCAACGAGCTTTTCACGAAATACTTTTTATGATGAAAACTAGTGTAGGAATTACCTTTGGTTGAAATGGCTAAAAATGTTGCTTCTACTTTTTTCTTAGAAAATACTCTCTCTATTGGTTAAAAATTTATGGAGTTTTAGGAAGATAAAGTATTGATGCCAACTTTCTAACTTTACCCCCGATTAGAGAATATGGTAAGGGGTGGGGTTAGAGGGTAATGGGGCTAAAGGACAAAAGGGTGGGTAAACAGAGGATGGGTAATTTGGATATTTCATTTTTTGTCAAAAATTGAAGTGTAAAGAATGTAATGGGACGGACGAAAATGACAAGTGTAAAGAATCAAATTAAAGAATCAAATGGGACAGAGGGATTAGGGAATATGTTGTTTAAATCTATAGTCTTTAACTGCTTTTTTATAGATAATCCAGCAGACTCATAACACCAGCATTCATAATCAGTCATTTAAGCCATTTTAACTCTTGGCAAAGCGGCTCTAAAAAATGAAACATGCTGCAAAAAGAAACTAACAGTTGTGTCCTTGGATTCTTCTATTCCAAAAATAGCAAGGAAGGGCTTCACAAGATTGTCCTCTCTTATGTCCGCATATATCAGCATTATCTGCATTTCCCCCAATGTTTTTGTTTTTGTGAGAAGACTATTTAGAATAGAAGGCAACATCCATACCAGAAAAACATCAGTTTGGAACCTTAGATTTGAACTTCCTCCCAACATCTTGCAAGGGTTTAAGGAGTTTCTTGAATTCATCAGGATCAGCAAAGACATATACCTTGGTTATAATGTCAA